TGGGTTTGGTCTAGCTGGCTTAGCATGGATTACCTCCTGCAATAGACAAATGGACCACATATAATTTATGGGTTCAAGGTGGGACAACAGTCYACAATGCCTCTAGCTAGAAACAAGTAAGTTAATGATGGATAGATATACAAACAAATGTTCATTTAACTTCAGCTAACTTCAGTTACTCATTTGTTTTATTTCCTCATGTTTTACATATTTTTGTCRTGATCTCCAGGTCGAAAAGTAGAAACACTCCAAGAAGTAGCATCTGAAGTATGTACATGAGAATTTAAAAATTTTTTATTTCAGATAGATTATAAAATGATATTGAAATAGATCATTAATTATGTTTAAATTTGATGATGAATGTTTCAGGTTGAAAGCGGAAGTGGTAAATGTATTCCTGTCGAATGTGATCATTCTAATGATAATGACGTCGAGAACGTGTTTGATCAAATCAAACTGGATCAAAATGGACATTTGGATGTTCTGGTGAACAATGCTTACAAAGGAGTGCAGGTATAAAATGGTTTAATTTTGATCTTAAATTACTGTATAAGTTGATAATGTAACTAAAAAAAAGCTGATAAGATGCTAGATTAAGACGTATTAACTTCAGGGGCAGATCCAGGGGGGCATAGGGGGGCTGAAGCCCCCCTTCAGCAGAAAAAACAAAAAATTTTGGATATGCTCTTTCTAATGAAAGCATCTTTGTCCTCTATACCTGATGAACTAAGGTAYATCAAGGGATAGGCCCTTTTTCAAATGGTCTCTGACTGGGCTAAATCTAATTAGCAACTGGCCAACTTTTTTTTARCCCTGTTCTTTTATTAATCTAAGTGTAATAATGTTTCATCTTGTAGTCAATCATGGACAATGTTGAGAAACCATTTTATGAGCAGGTAGGTTTACTCAGTTATTTTATTAGGAAGTGCATGGGTTTGGTAGTCATTAGATAAATGTTTTGAATTGGGATAGAATTAATGAAAGAATAAATGCATGAAACAAAGAAAAAAGAATAAAATATGAAGGAAGGAAAATCTGAGAAATTTAAGGGTCAAAAAAAAATAAAAAAAAGGGAAACTAAGATTGGAAATTTAAAGTAATAAATATAAAAAGTTAAAAATTAGCTTCAGCATCTTACCTCTGATATTCTGATCACCTCTATGACCCCCCCGGTGGGGGGGGGGGGGTACTCCCATATATGAACTATACGGGGATGATCCGCTGAACAGGGTATGGTTTTTCGAGCTTCTTGTCATAAACAGGGTATGCAATTTCACTCAAGGTCCAAATTCTTCCTGAGTTTCTTGTCATATTCAGGATTTCTATTTCGTATTGACTGAAASTGGTTACCATGGTCGTAAAAAAATGATACGTGAGATGACATGATAATTGAAACAGGAACTCAGTGCAATTGATTATATCTTTTGTCATAAACAGGGTCTACAAATACAATTTTGTTTTGTCATAAACAGGGTACCCCTTTCAGAATCCCAGCGGAACACCCCTACCCAAATTCTGGCGGAGTACCCCCCCCCGGGATGACCCCCTCCTTTCTACCCCCACCTCACCACCACCCACTCACAAAATAGAATGATAAAAAATATCTACATTGTTTTTGCACAGAATACGAGGAAGACATCGTAGGGGAGGTATTTCATGTATAATAGTTTAACCAAATATTGTTTTCTTTTTCTTAATAATCCAGCCTCTTGAAATGTGGGATGAGATAAACAATGTTGGATTAAGGTAATCAAAGTCTGTTTCAGTAAAAATAAAAACCTGTATTTTACAGCCATCACTCCATGTGAAGGGCTTTTCCATGAGGTTTGTTCCACAGGCACTAACAGCACTCATCTCACATGAAGTTGATTTTTCATGCTTCATGCACCACCACCCAGTTGGCTCAGTTGGTTGAGTATCAGAATGTTGTGTGGGAGGTCGTGGGTTCAAGCCTTGGTGGACGGACCAACACTCAGGATCTTAAGATAAACAAGGAGACAGTGCTGCCACTGAGGATGTAAAGAAACCCYGGCAGTGACCATCCTCATTGCCTACACCTCATACTAACCACCTCATGATAGTGATATTGACTTTTGATAGCCTTTAGTAATTACCTTATTTACATAGAAAGGGCAMTATATAAATCAATAATTATTACATTCTTATGGAGTTCAAAGGGGGCAACTGAGAAAACTCATGATGTATGGTAAGGGAAAGAACAACGTACCGTATTTAAAGTGCTTATAAGACTTTACATAATATTTTCAGAATTGATTCTTAAAATAGTGAATAGTTGATTGTGACAATTATTCGTCATTTGAATGTCAGGTCTTTGAGATACGAAGGTTTATATTTCCAATATGTTAATGACTATGACGTAACATAAGGGATTTGAGTTATTTTGTGGCAACTTTTAATATTGAACGCTGGACATTTTTTGAAAACAAATTTGTAAGAACCTTTACGTGAGTCACGAGTAAAAGGGTGATGCTTTTAAAATACTGTATTCCAGAACGAGTTCAGTGTTGTATATTAAATGATCCCTTATGTTACGTCATAGTCATTAACATATTGGGAATATAAACCTTCGTATCTTAAAGACCCGACWTTCAAATGACGAAATATTTTCACAATCAACTATCCACTATCTAAAGTATCAATTCTGAAAATATTGTGCAAAGGCTTATAAGCACTTTAAAAAATACTCTATTTTGGTTGACAGGTCTAACTATGTAGCTGCTTACTACGCAGCTAAAATGATGGTTCCAAACAAGCAAGGCCTGATTGTGAACATATCATCCTTTGGAGGATTGAGTTATCTATTTAACATCCCTTATGGTGTYGGCAAAGCTGCTGTAAGTTACTGTTTAGAAAAAAGATACTCTTACAGTGAATCCTGCTATCTCAAATAATTTCTAACTTCAATATCTTGAGATGAAATCTCAGCTAGTATGATAAAGTACATGATTAGAACATCTTTTCTTGTCAATATAAAATTGGATGTGGGCCTGGATCTGGTACTGCACAGAGTGTACTTCATTTTATGGGGATATAAGATTGAATGGAATCATATAGGTGACTGTTAACTTACAGAATGACCGAATGATGGCTGACATGGCAATAGAGTTGAAAAAGAGCAACATTGCAGCAATCTCCCTTTGGCCTGGAGCAGTTAAGACAGAAACCATAACAGCCATTTTACAAAGTGATAAGGTAAATGGGATCAGCAGTGGATCTAGGATTATTAGCTGTTTTTTTTTTGCTCATTCCGCAACAGTGTTTTCTTCCATTCCATATCATATTCATATACGATAATGAAATAATGTGACTATTAACTATGCTGCATTCCATTCCATAATATTTAAGCCTGGATCAGAGAAAATGATACAAGTTTTTAAAGATGGTGAGGATGTTACATACGCAGGAAAAGCTGTTGCTTGGCTTGCTGCAGGTAACAATAATTATTATCATTATACAGCTTCTCATTAATCCCATATAGGTAACTGT